AATTTACTCTTCTTCCAAACTATCAAGGGTATAATAAAAAATACCATAATTTATTGGACATCTTTTTTTTTTTTCTTTCATAGTTTTTATGCAACTTTCTACATATTAGTCGACAATTCCTATCAAACCATATTTCTATTGGATTGTGATCTAAGGTAAAAAAAAAAAAAAAAAAAATTATTATTCAATATAATATTATTTTTAGAATTTGGTACAGTACATTATCATGATGAGTCAGTATCACATTTTTTCAATATAAAGCTTTTGTTTCTGTGTTGTTAAATGCTAATTGAAATTTTGTCTTTTCTATTTGGTAATTTAGATTGATTCTGATATGTAAGAAGTTGTAAAACAGCCTAGAGAGAGGTCAAAGGTATGTGCACATTTCACGAAGTAATGGAGTGGAAAGACTGCAAAATGCAATTATTGTAAGAAAGTCTACAAGTTAATGGAACTTCTACTTTGCGAAAGCACTTAAAAACTTGTTTTGCTTATAAAGGTTCTAAAACTGATGACAAGCAAACAGTTCTAAAATAACAAAAAATTGATGATTGAGATGGAGCTAATGATGAGGGTGACAAAGGATACATTATGGCATCATTATCTGATAAAAACAAGTGTCGAAAAGTATTGTTCAAGATGGTGATTATTGATGAATTGCCTTTTTTCCTTCGCGGAGGGTGGCGGTAAAAGCATTTGCACATTAACTTTGCCCAAAATTTGTGGTTCTTAGTTGTAGAACTATTGCTAGAGATGTGCTTCATCTCTACCATGAAACAAAAGAGTCTTTAAGGGATAAATTTATAAAAAAATCTAGACAGAGGATTTCTTTAACCACGGATTGTTGGACCTCAATTCAAAATATATGTTACATGGTAATCATAGCACACTTTATTGATAGAGATTGGAGATTACATAAGAAGATATTTAGGGGCCGTTCTCTTCGTGTTTCAGTTTTGTGTTTTGAGTTTTGAATTCGTTTTCTATTTTGTGTTTTGAGTGTCTGTTTTGAAATTTCTGAAAATGTGTTCTTTTTGTCATTTTGAAAAACTGTTTCCAAAAACATAAAAATGGAAAACGCGTTTACTTTGAAATTTTGAGATTTTTTTTTAAATAATATTTTATTCAAGAATCTGATTATTCAATAAATTTTAATAGTTTAATGTTAATATAGTATTAAATGACATAAAAATTTTGAAGTTAATGAATTTTGAAATATTTTTTTCCA